CCAGGTCTGTGTTTTATTTTGAAGGGCAAGAGAAGTAGCCTCCTACTTTGTAGCTCTTCAGATAGAAATCCTGTTTTTAGTAGGCCTCTAGTATGGATAATGTGCCTCACAAAGTTAGGTATTGAAACCTGGTCTCCTAAGCATTTCAGAGCCTGAGCAGGTTGAAGCCTGGATTGGTGGATGATCAGGTGGGCCCCATAGACTCCCATGTTCATCAGATGGCAAGATTGCAGGTGTGTTGCAGAGTGTCTGAAGCAGTCCTGAATGTGGGTGCTGTTATCCCTGCCTTATAAGAGAGGAAGCAGAGGCTTGGGATGGCTCTGTGGCGTGCCATGGGTTACAAGTCTGTTTAATCCTAGAGCTGACAGGTGCCAAAGCCCCAAGCTCTTTGCATCCAGACTGCCGGCCAAGGGTGAGGGTGCATTTCTCCAGCTTCAGACACTGCATGTTGTCTTCCTCCACTCCCCTTTCCCTGCCCTGGCCTGTGGAGGTGGAGGAAACAGAGAAGCTTATGAGGAGCTGGTTGCCCACAGGGGGTCCTGTGGCTGCATGCTGTGGGTTCTCAGACAAAAGGGGACCAAAGTCAGAAGACACCCAGGTCTGGCCCAGAGCTGTCCTGAACCCCAGACCAGGCCTGCCAGGCGAGTCGTAGGCACCCTGCCACTCACTGCGTTTCCAGGCCTTCAGGATGCTAAGCCCCACATCAGAAGGAAACGAAACCATCAACAATTACTAAATACTAAATATAGCTCGGCACATTTAGAAATGAACAATGGAAAAAGCCTTGAAATTTTTTTCTTTGATGTGAATGGAGGCTTTGGCATTTGGAAATACAATAAGATGAATTAATTGCTACTCATTAAGCGGTAAATCAGGGGAAGTATGAATGTGCCTTCTCTCCTCCATGTTAGCTGGGGTCTGACTGAAATAGCCCCCTTTTGTATTTACTCCTGCCTTCTCTAATAATAAGCAAATTAGAGATCATGGCCAGGAAAAATTCAAGTGCCTTCCATCCTTTCTGCAGAACCATCATATAGTTTTGTGATGTTTATCCACCCAAGGGCTGCAGCTCATAATTGCAGGGGTCATGTGAATCCACATAGTGCAATATTAGAAACAACATCTGTGAAATTACTTCTTAAGAAAGTATCCTGCATTTTGCCTTTTTTCTGAAAAAGTGATCTTGCCAGCAAATTGCTGTCTTTCCTCCCTTGCACTGTTTTTGTATTGCTAGGAAATATATATTTGGAGAAAACGGTTTTTAGACCTAATTTTTTTTCTAGTATATTGGTGAGCATCCATGTGAATAAGTTGGGTGGAAGTTTTATCTGTGAATTCTGAAAGAATGGCCTTGTATAAGCTATTTGGAATACACCGACTTACCATGCTTTGGCTATAATATATTGCATGTAAAGCTTGCTTATGGCTCATGCCTAAAGACTGTAATTGATTTTGTGCAGTAACTCAAAGCTGAGCAAGCCTTGGGGAGAGAGATAAACAAACCTCCACTGGTAACCAGGGTGGGATCCGTAAGATGTCCTGGAGTTAGAAGTGCACACCACCCTAGTTCCTTGCCTGTGGGTTACTGCCTGTCCTACCTGTAGACATTTCCCACTTAATTGTATCCATTTCAGCCCTAAGGAGGGGGCAAACCACAGAGCTATAACAGCAACCTGGCTCTGCTTCATGAAGTATGGAAGGCTGTTGACCTAGTTACAGCTATAATGTAAAAAGGCTTCTGAGTGAGGAGTTTATGTCTGACAGAATCTGGACTATGTGTGGCAGGGCAGTGAGGCCACTGATGGTGTGTTGTGCCAGATATTGGAGAGGGGAGAAGGTGGGCTAGTAGGTGATGAGACATACACTGACCCTCTCTCCCTCCCTCTCCTTTCTTTCCTCCCTCCCTCCTTTCCTTCCTTCCTCCCCTGCCTTCTTCCCTCCCTCCCTTTCTTTCTTCATCTCTTCTTTTCTCCTTTCCTCCCTCCTTCCCTCTCTCCCTCCCTCCATCCTTCCCTCTCTCCCTCCCTCCATCCTTCTCTCCTTTCCTTCCTTGTTATTTATTTGAAATGCAGACACAAGGCAAGGGACAGAGATCTTTCTTCCACTAGTTCACTCCCCAAGTAGCTGAAACAGCCAGGCTAAGCCAGGCAGAAGCCAGGAGCCAAGAATTTCATCCAGGTGTCTTCATGGGTGGCAGGGGCCTGAAAATGTAGGTCATCATGTGCTGACTCACAAGTGCAATACCAGTGAGCTAAACCGGTACCAGAGTTGCCAGGACACAAATTGGCACTCTCATGCAATGCAGGTACCCCCAAGTGGGAGCTTAACCCACTACTGCCATAATGTCCACCCCAAGAGTCACTTATCTTTCCTATACTCCCCAAGCATTCAGCTCATTAGGGTCTTACTCTTGAAAATAACAAGACTTCAACTCAGTACGAATGCCTCCGTGTGAATCATTTTTCCAAGTTTCTTTCTAGGACACATTTTTCTTCTTGTGCTTGTGGGTTCACACAAGCTGAGAGCATTTCCTGTAATCTAAGACATATAACTCAGCATTAACTTAATAACTGTTTTTCAAGATAAAACAATAACCTTTTGTAAATCTCATCCACATCTCAGAATTGATGGTATGAAAGCAGAATAAATTGGGTGTGCCGGTGTGGAATGTGTTTTCAGATGTGCTTAAGCTTCACTTATTTGGCTGGAACCGCCTCTTCCCTCCCCTGCAGAATGGGGGATGTGGTGAAGATGGCCTGAAATGTTTGAAAGTCCAGGATTTTAGGGCAGGGTAGTACAGAGAAGCAGCTTGCTAGGGTCATATTTTTTCCCCCAAAGCTAGGCATGAATTTCTGGGCTGAAAATGACAATTTTTAGGGTGCTCCATCCATTGAACTCTCTTAGCTAAGAGTTCTCAGTTCCCATCTCAGGGTAAGTGGGTCCGTGGCCATGCTGTCTGTTCTGAGTTTGGGAGATAGCACTGGTGGTGCTTATTACCTGTCTCTGGGGTTACTTTCAATTTTAAACAAAAAAAAAAGTAATCCTTATAATTTTCCCATGTATATCATCGCTGATGGGGCACTGTTATAAAATTGAATGAGTAGTCAGAGTAGCTCCACTAGAAAGGGTCAGAAATCACTGGGATAGACATTTTTCTTCCATTTGCAGAAAATTGCCTATTCTCAAATAGGTAGGTCAAGTGCAGACAGAACCACTACTTGAGGTAAAATTTCCTTTGCACATGTGGCTTTTTGCCTGTTACTTAGAACAGGCAGCCAAGAGCTGTGCAATTTTAACACCCTGTTCTTTTCTCACTAGTTGGGGTGGGTTTTTTTTTTTTTGTTATATGTATGTATTAAGATGTATTTAATTATGGTGGAATTCACGCTCATAGCTACAAATACTTATAGAGCCAGAATGACCGTAGTGAGCCAAATATCCTTTATTTAATAGTGGGGAAAAAAATGAGACAGCAAGAAATGATTTGCCCAGTAGTGCGAGGCGTGGGGATGTTTGGAGCTAAGTCTTCTGACAGCACCAACAGGTGCACCCATTGCTGTCTCAGAGCACATTGCTGAAGTTACGGCCCTTGGTTGCTCCCTTGCTTCGGGGCACCCCTGTACCTTTATATTCCTGGTGGAATGCCGGGTGAGTTAGAGAGGCAGACTTTGTGTTTTGTAACAGAAAGATTTTGATCTGAAGCAGCTAAGAAAGTCAGTGCTCTTCCACATGTGAACTGACTCCCATGCCTTCCCAGGCCTGTAGAAGCTCCGTGCCATTTCTTGGTAATGAGAACCAATCCCACATGATGTTGTGCAGTTGCTGTTCAGAATTCCTATCTGCCAGTGGACACAAGGTCTGGGCTGCCATTTTCCAGGCTCTGCTGGGACACCAGAGAGGTTGTGAGGCTTGTTCTGTGCTGAGAAAGGCACCAGTGGTCCTCTCCCTGCCATGACCTAAGTTTTAGAAATGGCCTGGAAAGCATTTACAACCCCACTTCTTAGGAGCTGAGGGATCCCAGGTTTCTGGTCCCAGTAGAAACAAGCACATGGATGTTTTGCTGTCAGGGTCTTCTTGACAGTGGATGGAGTAGGTATGACTGAGCCACGTGCCCTGGAGGAGTGGATGAGGCAGGTGTCCAGTAAAGCACTGGGATCATTGAGCTCCATAGGCATCCAGCATCAGAGAACACGCACACACATCCACCAACTGTGAAATCCCATCTACTTCAAGATTTGTCTTACTTTCCTGGCATCCTCAGGAGTTGAGATGTCTTGGATTGTAACAGTCAACCTGGGAAAGGTTAGACTGTTTCTGGGGTTGGCAGATGGAACCTCAGCCATAGGATGCTGTTACTCTGAGAGTCCCCAGGCCATTCCGCTGGGGACTAGCACTCTTGCCAGCTTCAGCACGCCCTGTTGCAGCTGCTCACAGTCCACATGTGCTGCCCCAAAAGCTGTGATTGAGGCTGCATAGAGATTCAGTAGCAGGTCAGAGAAATGTGTGAAATTAGAAAAACAACCTAAGCCATTGTTAGATCTCCCTCCCCAACCCCTCAAGGGTTAATGCAAGCTTTTTAAAAATTCCAGCGTAACTTCCTGAGAATTATGGAAAGGGCCCCTTCAAGTCGGTGTCACTGTTTTTGTTCTTGTTTTGTTGGTCTGTGGGAGCACGGACCCCACCAGGGGCAGCCAGAAGCCTTTACAGGTGGACCAGTCCATTTTTGCTGTCCTAGAAAAGCCACAGAGCCAGCTCAGGAGTTTGGGGGTCCTTGGTGGTTATTCTGTTCTGGGATGCCCATCCTGTGAATCACCTTGGTAGATAGGTAGACTCTGCATCCAACATGCTTCCTAAAATAGAAGAAAATCCCCCAACCCCTACCCACTGTATCATCCCCAAGTTTTCTGTACTTGTATACATTTATGTTTTTATCTGAAGAAGCAAACTGATGGCGACTTTATACACAACCCTTTTAACAACTTGTTTATTATTGTATCCAGGTAACGAGCATGGTAAGTATTTTCACTAAACTGAGTATTTTGCATTTTAGTTGTGCTTGGCAGAATTTTTTGGCTAGCTGTGTGCTACCAGCCTTGGCTTTTCTAGAAAAGACCCACTTAGGGAAAAGCGAATCCCTTACCTTTGGCACCTGATTCGCCCTTGGCCGGCCCACGAAGCTGCGGAGTCCTGGGCCTGTGCCGGAGAACATTCTAGAGAAAGCATGTGCCCCTGAGCATGCTGCTTGGCCTTGTCCCTATTCCCCATCCCGCCCTGCGCCCTCTGCTGCTTCTGAACTGTCCTACCAGGTGTCAGCCAGGGCGGTCTGCCAGGCTTGCATGATCTTACAGCTCCTAGGGGTGTTGCCCCTGGGCAGCCAGTGCACCCAGTCTCCTTGCTGTGTGCATAGAAGCAGCACCTCTTCCCATTCAATGGAATGTGTTAAGGAATTGGAGACATCTTCTGGAAGCTGAAAAAATAAAAATGTTGTCCACTCTTGGAGGCTTCCCATTCTGTTGGAAAACACATTCAGTTTTCACTTTTTTTTTAAAGCCTTGCTGCTGGGTGTTCTTAGTGACGGCTCAGAGCGATGGCCAGCTGAGTGTGTCATTGCCTTCTGGCTGTGTTTATCCATGCATGTTGGCTTTCCCAGCCCCTTTTGTGGCTCTGTATTTTAGTCCATGTGCTCGTGGCTGTGCCTGTTTAACCTGCCTGGTAGCTTTGGCTTCTGTATTGAGCCCCTATGTCACTGTCACCTTCAAGGATCAGACTGCGAAGGATAAGGCCCTGCAGCACATGGCGGCCATGTCCTCAGCTCAGATCGTCTCGGCCACTGCCATTCACAACAAGCTGGGGCTGCCTGGGATTCCACGCCCGACCTTCCCAGGGGCGCCGGGGGTAAGTTCGCAGCTGGGTCCAGCAGTAACGGCTGCTAGCAGCGCGGGGGTGGTGCGGGCCAGAGCAAAGCCCATCCACCTGGTGCTTGTTGCTGATGAGATCAGGTGTAAGTGCAGTTGGAGCCTAACTTGTACTAACTGATGCTGGGTGAAAAATGGTGAAACAAGGGGAGGAAGGGAGCTAGAGAGAGGCTATGGGAAAGGTCAGTGAAAGAGGAAAAAGCAGAAGTGGAGGGGCAGACTCCTTAGTCTCTGAGAACCAGCAGTTTCAGTGTCACTCCTCTGGGACCCATCTGGTGGTAATCTGCTCCTTCTGCTCCCTGGATCCCCACCCTGGCCCTTGGTCCCTGTCCTTGTGTCCTCAGAGTCACTTTATATCTCACTGGCAACTGGCTGCTCATGGCACGAGGTCTTCTGTTTTCATTCTGATACCTACCAAGGGCTGAGGAGCTTTATGATCTAATCTCATTTGATCCTCCCAGCAATCTTTAAATGCTTCTTCCTGTTATTGGCATTTGCAGAGAAGAAGCTGATGGTTGTTAGTTAAGGCAACAGGAGTCTGGGTAACTTGATCGCAGGCAAGTGGACGCTGGTGTTGGGATTCAACGCCAGAGCCATGTGACCCCACAGGCTGCCCTTTCCTCTGCTACACCATCTGTCTGCCTGCCCACCTGTCAGCCTGCCTGCTTGCCTGCAGAAACCTCAGGCACCCACAGCTCCAGGCAGCTCAGAGACGCTGGCTGCACACTGATCCTCGGAGCTCCTGGCCCTCTTGTTCCAAACTTTGGCCTCTGCCTGGTGGGGTCTTTGGTGCTGTGAGCTAAGGGGCCAGAGGGTGGGTGGGGGTAGAGATAGCCAGAAACAATGCATGGCAGAGAGGGCGGCTTGGTGTCTGAGTCAGCGGTCAGTTGGAGTGTCTGGAGCCCTCCTGGCATGTCTGTGGTCACTGCAGGGAGAGCACTGAGGAAGGACTGCTCACCTTCTTGCAGGAGGATTTTTAAGAGCAGGGCAGAGTAGCGGGGAGCCTCTGGATTGCTGAACAAGCTCGGCTGGGATCTGTGAGCAATAGTGACCACCTGTGCATTAAGACCGGAGGTGTTCGTGCTGGCAGGCATTTGGGACCTGCTGTTCTTGGGCAGAAGTTGTAGCATGTATGTACCCAAGGCTGTGCTTCCATGTGAGCTCATAATGCTGACACCTCTGTGTTTTGCCTTCCAGTTCTGGCCAGGAATGATACAAACAGGGCAGCCAGGATCCTCCCAAGAGTAAGTCTGAGGATGGGCTGGGACAGGTCTCCATGCCTGGGGCACATGTCTCCCAGGACCATGCTATCTCAGGGCCCTGAGCTCCCTAAAGTCACTCTTCTCTTACTGTCTACTGAGGCCGATGACCTCAGGTCTGGGAGGGAGCATCTCTGTCCCATCCTAAAGATGAGTGATTGTCCAGCTAACAACCAGAAGTGGAATCCTGTCCCTTCATGGCTTCTGCCCCCTGGAGTCAGAGAAGGCAGTGAAGGCAATCCTTCCACCCAATCCGTGCTAGTCTTCCCTGGGTGGAGGAGGGTGGAAGGTGGGTGGGCCGAATAGGAGTCCTCCTAGTTCCTTGAGGGCAAGAAAAGTAACCTCAGTAAACATGCAGATGTGTGCAGTTTAGGGATAGCAGCAGAGAGGTGATCCTGTGACTGTGTTCTCAAACACACATGAACCCAATGGCTTAGAGGGAAGCCCCAAGCATGTCCCAAACCTTGCCTGGTTAATGATGGCTCCTGAGCTCAGTCTTGGTGTGAGAAGTACAGAAGCAGATGTTACAGCTCATGGACATCAAGCTCCCAGCTGTCCAGGGGCTAGAGGGTGGGGAAGCTTAGGGCAGGCCTCAGTTGCCGTCACAGTTTCTAACCCTGTGTCACCTCTGTCCCTAGCGTCAAGCCCTTCGTGCAACAGGCCTACCCCATCCAGCCGGCAGTCACAGCGCCCATTCCAGGTGAGTGAGTATCCCCAGGGTCCCTATTAGGGCTGACAACTAGGCCTCTGTTCTGTGCGGGTAGGGTGGCTCACCTTTGTCACACCTGTACATCTTCCCTCCCAGCAGAATCAGGGGAGAGGCCCATCTCTACCTCCTACCTTGAAGAAGAGGTTGACCTGAAGTTCAGGAGGGTCACAGGGATTTACCTACCAGATCCTGATTCCTTTCTCAGGACCAGCAAAGTCCCAGGAAGCCTGGTCACTCTCAACAAGGACACTTTAGTCATCATTAAATGGGGAAATTGCCATGCACACTTCCTCATCATAATGTGGCCAAATTAGGAAGTCCATATCTTGCGGGCAGATAGGGTTTAGTGTTCCTTTTCATAGAAAGGTGCTTTTCCTTTGCTAGTACTTTGCTTTATTTTGCTTGTAAGCTCCTTTACAGCAGAAATCATGGATCGGGCTGCCCCACCTGTTATCACCGTTCCCGCTACATGTACCCCCATCCCTACAATGCACACTTAGACTCACTCAGCCCAACTCCTCAAGGCATGGAGTAAAACTCATTCCTCTCCATTGTTGAACACCCAAGTGGAGCATGCCTTCCCACATTGCCCTTGGTTCCAATAACGCAGAGCATTTTGAGTGAGCGTTCCTTAGTGCTGGCAGCCAACCTTGAGAAAGGGGAGTGGAGACACCTGAGAAATGCAGTGGCCCACCCCAGCCTCACAGAGACCTTTGGAAGCATGCTCCCTTCTGACTACTCTGTGCCTGGTCCCCAGGTAGGCCCTTTGTTAGATGTCTTGTGCCAGTCCTTAACCTTAACTGAAGTTACCTTTGCAAGGAACATGTGCATTGGGCTGGTCAGTGTCTTTGAGATGCTCAGCTAGAATCCTGTTATTGCATGGCTGAGACCTCCCCAAGTACTGGTGGAGAGGGAGTGCCTTGCCTTTTCTTCTGGGTCATCTGTTCTTCAGAGCACTGAGTGGAAGTGACTAAGTCACTGGCCAGGCCTTGATGCGAATGATTATTCTTTCAGGATTTGAACCTGCATCAGCCCCAGCTCCCTCGGTCCCTGCCTGGCAAGGCCGTTCCATTGGCACAACCAAGCTTCGCCTGGTAGAATTTTCAGCATTTCTCGAGCAGCAACGAGACCCAGACTCGGTGAGATCCTTTTTTTTTTTTTTTTAATTTCTTGATTTATTTGAAAGACAAACTTAAAGACCAAGGGTGGAATGGGTGGGAGAGACAAAGAGGTCTTCCATCCATCCGTTGGTTTACTTCCCAAATGGCTGCAATAGTCAGGGCTGGGCTATGTCAGAAGCTCTTCCAGGTTTCTCATGTGGGTACAGTGGCCTTAAGCACTTGGATCATCTGCCACTGCTTTCTCCATCACATTACTAGGGAGCTGGATCACAAGTGGAGAAACTGGGTCTGAAGCCAGTACCATATGTAATGTTAGTGCTGTGAGCAGGGCCTTAAGCACTACACCACAGTTCTAGTCCCCTGAGATATCTCTTAAACGTAGGACTTGCTTCTTTTCCTTTCCTGTCCTCCTTCTTGCTCCTCTTGGGTTCTTTTCCTTTGCTCCTCTGGCCTAACAAATGTTATGGGTGAAAGAAGACCTAGGAAGGGGAAGCCGAGCAAACTTTGGCTCCCATGAGCCCCTGTTGGTGGCTATGTTGTGCATTGGAATGGGAGTTATCAGCCTTGCCCTGGAAGCTACGGTGAATGTCAGTGCTGCACTGAGTGCTCTTGACCTGAGCATGTGCACTGAACAGCAGGTAACATAGACTTAGCCTTGCCATGTGGCTGGCCTTGTATCTAGATGTTTGACCACATCTGATCAGCACTAAAACCCTCCAGCAGAAGGTATTCTTAGATAGACGCATGTACCTTCCTCGGAGTCATGCAGTCAGTACCTAGTGGACTGGAGATTCAGACTCAAGTCGTTGAAACTTCAGTGCCTGAACATTCAACCATTATCCTAGGCTGCTTGTCTGAGTCCATGTTTTGTCAAGAGAGCAAGTTATTATCCCCTTTGAGAGAACAGAGTGGCACCTCCACAGCTGACCATCACATGCAGTATATTGTAATATCACAAGTTCCAGTAACGTTGGCATTTGGACTCTGTCAAGTTCTTCTCTTCTGTCTCCCCCGTCTCATCTTGTACCCAGCAGCCCATTGTTTTTCTGCCGGACCCTTCCTGGTACATATGGGATTCTCCCTTCCTTCCTTTCTTCCTAACCAACAAGTCTTGTACCCTTTCCTCACACCCACTCCTTGGCTGTGAATATATGAGTGTTATGTCTGTGTGTGGGTGAGCTCAAGGCAGGCACTGAAGGAGTCATACATTGGTTGGTGGGATCCTCACCAACTCCTCACATGTGCTCCATCACCCCACTGCACTCATCTTAGAGGCTCCGAGAGGCTCTAGCCCTAGGCTCACTGGCTGAGTGCTGCCTGCCTTGCCACCCATCTAGGATCAGGAACGTGCTCATGTTTGCCGCTAACTACTGGGATTTGGGTACCTGGATGTGTCCTCTTACAGGAGCCAGTTATGAGCTTTTGCCCAGTGGGACGCCTCCTTGGGTGCACACACAGAGGAAGCACCTTGGCAGAGGGTTCTTGGGCAGCCATCCCAGAGTGAAACAGGGCAAACCCTGAATGGCCTGCTGGTGTCCCATGATTGTGAGTGCTAGAAGTTGGAGGTCAAAGAGAGCTGCTTCAGAATTAGTGGGGATACAAAGATTGAAGTAGCTCATTGGGCTCAACAAGGCAGGTGCAGGAACATGAAGCCATTGACAGGAGGAAAAGAAGCAGCCAAGTGGATGGATCTCTCCTCTTGAGGGGTGATGGATTAAAATCCTTAGTTGTGTGACATTCAAAGAAACAAAGGGATGGATGCCTGTTTTTATGCCTTCTGGCTTTTCCGCTGAAAGTGATGCATGATTGTTTTTGGCTGTAGACTGGGCTTTGGGCAGGATAAGGAGCCTGTGCGTATAGGATACCTGGCTGCTGACACAGTGCTTTGTCATTGCTTTTTTTTTTTTTTCTGTCCCCAGAGATCCCCATAAAAGCTTCTGTTTTCTCCATTTCACAGATAAATAAACTGAGTCTGCAGCATGTTCTGTAACTTTCTTTTTCTTTTTTTTTTAAGATTTATTTTTATTATTTTCTTATTGGAAAGGCGGATATACAGAGAGGAGAGACAGAGAGGAAGATCTTCCATCCGATGATTCACTCCCCAAGTGAGCGTAACGGCTGATGCTATGCCGGTCCGAAGCCAGGAGCTTCTTCCGGGTCTCCCACGCGGGTACAGGGTCCCAAAGCCTTGGGCCGTCCTCGACTGCTTTCCCAGGCCACAGGCAGGGAGCTGGAAGGGAAGCGGGGCTGTCGGGATAGAACCGGCGCCCATATGGGATCCCGGGCTTGCAAGGTGAGGACCTTAACCACTTGCGCCACGGCGCTGGGCCCATGTTCTATAACTTTCACAGATTCTTTAGCCAGTGGGAAAAAGAACCAGAATCCCCAGTGTCATATTCCAGTTTCCTCTTTTCAGTACTTAAATCATTGCCTCCTGCCTTCTTAAAGATTTATTCATTTTTATTGAAATGAATGAATGATATCAGATATATGAGCGGAAAAGAGAAGATCTTCTGTCAAGTGATTCACTCCCTAAGTGGCTGCAACAGCCAAAGCTGTGCCAATCTGAAGCCAGGAGCCGGGAGCCAGAAGCCTCCTCTGGGTCTCCTGTGCGCAGTCGAGGACAGCCCCATGCCTCCTGCTTTTTAAGGTCTCTTGAATTGTCTGTTCAGTAGGAGTGTCCTCAGTGTGAGCAAATCTATTTCTCTCTGTCTCTGTTTCTCTTTCTTCCTCCCTGCCTGTGACCAGGTTTTTAGGAACAGGGCTCCAAGGCAATGGAAAGCCAAAGATCCAAGATGACCTTTGTTGTCATGATTGTGAGACTGTGGGATCTGATTTAGTTCTTATGAAAATTGAAAATAAACCCTACTGTTTTAGTTTAAAAAGACAGTGTAGCCCCCTCATTGTACCTGTGCTCTACAGCTGTGAGAGTACAGAATACTTCACTGCTTTTTGCCATGCTCTTAGTGTTTGTAAAGCTCAGCATTTGGAAACTCTGATGGCCCCATTCAATACATTCTGTAAGTCTGGCTGTGCACAGGCACCTGCAAGGGACTGGATACAAAGGGGATTCCTCTAGCCCAATAGCCATACTGAATCACGGCACGCAATTGGAAGGTAGATGTGAAGCAAATTACTCCCCAAGAGATCACTGTACAGTGTGGTGCCTGCCAGGGTGGAAGATCACCCTTTACCCTGAGAAATGAAGTATGTTGACTGGGACAGAGTAAGGCAGAACATTCCAGAGGTGATGAACCTGAAGTCTGACACAGTCAGTGGCACTGGTAAAGCCAGAACTCTCCTCATCCCATAATCTGAATGTCTTTGATCTTTAAGTAAAATAGATTAGATCCCCGACACATGACTTCAAAGGCCCTGGTGTGAGTTAACACCCTTGGGTCCTGTGGGGAAATAATCATCTTTTAGGAGATTTGAGCCCTTGTTTCTGGCAGCCGCAAGGAAAGATGTTGACAACTCGGCAATAGAGGAAACTCCTCTCCTTATGGAGCCCACCTGGTGGTGGCGATTCCAGACCAAGGGAAGCCAAGTGCTAATGTGGAATAACATCCTTCCTCACAAATGAATCGTTTCTCTTTGAAGTAAAAATACAGATTCTAGATGGTACTAATAGCCTCTACTGCATACGTTGTTATTTCTGGCTCGTTCAGTGCTGTTAAATGTTGTCTGTCGGGTACTACCAGCTGCTGCATCACTGTTAGGAGATTCTCTTGCTGGGACTTCAGGCTCAGTTGCTGATGCTATTTCTCATATATCAATGCTGTGGACATTCATCTTTCAGTGAACCACAGATGAAGTGAACATGCCCAGATGTGTGTAAAAGCAGATTGTGAATAGGGTTAGTACTTAGGTTTACTGCAGATGTGAGGGCCTGAAGGAGAAGTACGGTGGCTGATTAGTTGAAAAGAGGGGACTGAAAAAATTATTTAACACATTTGGCAATGTCTCAAATACCAGGCAGCCTCTCAAATTCTACATCGATGCTTTGCTTTACGGAGCACATGCAAAGTGTTTTTGTCATAGATGCAATGGTATTTCAGAACTAAGGTTGCACTGAGCAGTGTATGGAATGAGGATGACTCCTTTGGCTGTTAGACTTTTTGTGAATTCTTGGACTGTAATTTTACTATACAGGTGGTTTTGTTCAGTGGTAGGAAAACTAACTTAAAATAGACTTAGGGTTGAGGTTATGGCTAAGGTTAGTTGTAACAAATTTAGATGTACTATGCTTAAAGTTTAAAATCCACCACTAAGCATGTTAATCGATAAAGAATGCAGCAATGCAGCTAATAATGAAAGGATGTTAAACAAATCAGCTTTCCAGGTATACTCTAAATATTTGCTATGCACACATGTACAGATAGTTCTCCCTACTTTGCCATGGCTTAGGCTTCTTGGAATGATAGATTTGTAAGATAATTTTGAAAGAACTTGCAGGTAGTGCTAATCAAGATAAATTGGGCAGGCAGGTGCAGTGATAAATGTTCATTAGTTATTTCCTTATTCATTAACACAGCTCTCTGAAGTAGAAGAGTCTCTTTCCTTTTGCAGGCCAGGGTCAGAGAGACTGCTGTCTAACCTGGTGGCCGGAGCCAGCTTTGAAACCCAATCTCCCTGCCCCATCCTACCTTCCAACAGAACAGTGGGCACCATTGCAAACCTCCATGGCAGTACAGCTAAGAGCCTCCTCCTTGGTCTAGGGCTGCCTCCTTTCATACCAACATTTTTTTTAAGATTTATTTTTATTTTTATTGGAAAAGCGGATATACAGAGAGGAGAGAGGAGGAGAAACAGAGAGGAAGATCTTCCGTCCAATGATTCATTCCCCAAGTGAGCGCAACGGCCGATGCTATGCCAGTCCAAAGCCAGGATCCTCTTCCAGGTCTCCCACGCGGGTGCAGGATCCCAAAGCCTTGAGCCATCCTCGACTGCTTTCCCAGGCCACAGGCAGGGAGCTGGATGGGAAGCGGGGTTGCCGGGACACGAACCGGCGCCCATAT